ATCATGCAAAAGACCGTTTTCAAAAAGCTTGTCACGCCCTGAAAGACCTTCCTGGTCAGCCCTGGCCACCCACGTGCTATTCACGTGCGCGGTGCGTGATGACTTTCCCACGCACTTTCGACACGCATAGCGGTGTATCGATCCGAGAAAGGCCATCGGCTGTCACGTGAGCTCTCACGCACCGCGCACGTGAATAGCACGTGGGTGGCCAGGGCTGAGGAAGGCGATCGGCGATAAGGAAAAGGCCGAAAACGGTGAAAAACGAAAGTTTCAAGTGGGAACTGAGATGTATATCGTTCGATAGCATTTTGCATGGAGAATCGAATGGTGTACACCACAGCTCCGTAGAGCCACCTGGAAGACCAAAAAATCTGGTTTTTATTTCAGGGCATGACGGAGAGCGATGTTTGAGGCCACACCAGGGAAGAAACACTCGCTCAAGCCCGAGTATATCATCTTTTTCCAACATACAAGTAAACTTACTCTACGATAGGGAAGAGAGTTCGTCCCTCCCTTCTCGAATTTCCTCAAAACATCCCTTCGAAAATTGGGAAATGTCACAAAATGGATCTAGTGGCAGGTAAACTAGATGTTCTCCAGAAAGTGAGTTGTATACCGTTCGACAGTATTTTTTATGGGGAATTGAATGGTGCACATCTCAGTCTTCTATGTTCATCTGGAAATGCCAAAAAATCTGATCTTTCCACAAGGGCTACGAACGAGGAGGCTACAAGCAAGTATGTCATCTTATTCTACACTCAAGTAAGCGTACTCTACAACAGTAAAGAAATTTCCCCGCTACCTCCTCAGATTTCGGAAAAACCTTCGCTCAAACATTGGAAAATTTCACCAGATAGGCTAACTGTCCAGCCGAGAATTGATCTATGATTTCCATTTGAACACGAGAGGAGGAGATGTTGAGCGCAGGGACTACGTGTTAAGTCATTTAACGCGCGCTATGGAATAGGGACCATGAAATCTGGAAAAAAGCAATCGATCCATTCACAATACAATGGACGATGTTGAATACGCGGCGCGTTCTGGGGCAACTGCTGAGACCCATCTCTCTGAAGAACGATCATGATGCATAAGCGGGATTATATGCGCACCACATTCAAAACAGTTTTTTCTCGAGCCAAAGCTCGAGTGCATGGCGCAATCTGAAGTAGGCTTTCCAAAAACGAAAAAACGAAAAAACGAATTTGCGTTTTTCGCGTGTTTTTTTTTCGATTTTTTACGGCGAGTACCGTAGTTTTCCACATGGTTAGACTCGCCACAGAGAGACGAGTCCAATGGTGTAGAGCACCAATCATTTGACCCGCTTTGGGGGGAGTTATGAAGGGGCGACGCTTTGCGACGCTGCAAATCCGTCGCTCAGCGGAGAAATTTCAAAAGTTAGTGGCGGTATTGTATAAGTTGTGCAGATCGTTGCGAGATAATGCTGCTGCTGCTTCGGCTTTATGAAAAATTCTTTAAAATATAAAAGTGGGAGGGCTTTGCGGTTCGCGCGTGATCGGTATTTTCGTCCGTAATTCACATTAGCCGCATGGGGTTTACTTTAATAGAACTCCAGCGCCTATCAGCCCACCTTGGAGACGACACGGAATTCTGTGATAATGGGCTGCTCACATCCCAACACAAGATCAAGATTTTTTCGACACGACGTCATCAGGGCTTGCTGCTTTACCCGCACAGAGCTGATTTTCTTTACACATTGACGACATTGAGACGCGGTAACGCGTCTCACTTTGCGCACCTCGTTGGACATTGAGACGCGGTTGCGCGTCTCACCCTTGTCATCCCTTTTTCTAGCGTATGCGGGGATTCTTCCCAATTTGCTTGTCTCTATTCTATGGATTACAACATAACATAACTGTAAACGACATGGGTCACGGTATGATCAAATATGCTCCAGTTTAGCAGAAGTTTTTTAAGCACAGCGGAATTGGCAGCTCGGTTCATTCCTCGTTTTCTTCCTATTCTCATGAACATGTCAGTGAGAAAAGGGTAGTGAAAGTAAATACAAACTTAAAGAGATAGAAAAATATGTTTCACTTGGCACATCCACATCAAAATAGTTTTGGCATCCACTACAGATAAAATGACTAAATTCCTTTTCATTACCATTACACGTTCTTTTGATCGGATTTCGCCACTATATCCTCGATTACTTCTACGCATTGAATATTGCTGAAATGGTTTTGTACCACTGGTGCTTTCCAGAAGTTATCATTCAATATTTACGATTGCTAGGTGCGGCGGCCGCGCTCGCAAGTCCCTGTCCCACGCGGCCAAAAAAGCCAAAACGCGCGCTGTCGTCAACGTGTTAAGAGCTGTCGGTGAATAAAAACGAGCCAGAAATGGGAATCGGTTCAAATATTGGCACGGTGTCATAAAATCACTCAAAAAGGAGCAATCCGAAGCAGGGTGAATAACGGTCGAGGAATTCCTCGACCATGGCTCTCTACTGTGCGAGAGTAGTGTCGAGAGTGAATGATGCGCGGAGAGCACAGACGGCTCGCGGGTGGCGAGAGTGAGCATCCGCGTGGGAGAGCGTGAAAGAATCCTCGACGAGCCGTTGCCGTTTCCTCAAGCGATTTCACCCTGATTCGGAGGAGGCTGCACAGGGTGGCAGAAAGTAGCAGCAATGGCAGCAGGCATCAAAGTGATTTGAGTTCGAATAAACTAGCAACTATTACAGATTTATTCTACGGAAAGGATGATCAAAAAGCGCTACTTCTCCTTACAATTTCCATTTGTTTGGATACTGGCACTGTCAACGTCAGGCCCTGTGAGAGGCTGGAGAGACACTTTGACAGTGGCGGAGAGATTGCTTTCATCCAATTTACTGCATGCTTTCTGCATATTATCCTGAACCAAGATGTCATCCATCATCACCTGCTCTGACTGTGCCGGATTCCAGACGCTCGTTTACCTTTCATCGGATCGGTACAGAATTCGGTCTCAGGTTGGTCAGAAGTGTCCTCTACTTCTCTGTACTCCCAACAATTTCAAAGCAACACTTCCTGGGAATTCCAGACGGCGAGGGGCGCCTTCTGTTTCTGACCAATAATTTA